GTATACGAGTATGTATCTGTCTTTCTGTGTGTATGTGTCTGTCTGTCTGTCTGTATCTGTGTGTCTCTGTATGTGAGTGTCTGTCTTTCTGTATGTATGTGTCTGTCTGTCTGTCTCTGTGTGTGTGTTTTTCTGTGTGTATGTGTGTGTACAAGTATATGAGTATGTATCTGTCTTTCTGTGTGTATGTGTCTGTCTGTCTCTGTGTGTGTGTCTGTGTCTCTGTGTGTACACATGTGTGTCTATGTGTATACAAGCGTATGAATATGTTCTGTGTGTATGTCTGTCTTTCTGTGTGAGTGTGTGTCTCTTGTTCTGTTTCTTAGGTTTCACTATGCAGCTCTGGCCGGTCTGGAACTCACTTTCTACACCAGGGTAACCTCAAACTCAGAGATCCACCTGCCTCTGCCTCCTGAGTGCTGAGGTTAAAGGCCTGCGCCACCACCACCACCAGGCACACCCAGGCTTTATTATTTGTTTCCTGATAGTCAGTATCTTTCCTCTTATTCTTCCTGGTTCAAAGATCTCAGTAGGCTTCCCAGTACCACAAGGAACCATGCCAAGCCTTCATGGCACCCTAGATCTTTGGGTTTACTGTCTTTTCTACCGACTGCTCCTCTCTGACCTGACAGTGGCATCGCACTTCCACGAGCCAGATTTTGGGACGGCCCCAACTCTGCAGAGGCCTTTTTGTGCTCTGCAAATTCTCACACATCCTCTTTCTAAGTGTGGCTGGTGAGGTTTCTCTGGGAGCTTTCATCTTCCTTCCCCACTTCCCTTAAACACCGGCTACAGTTACTAGTTGGCAATCTCCTCTTGCGGGGCCACTGTACCCCTTATTACAACTTGGTTGCTCCCCCCACCCTCTACATGTATTTATGTGTTCTTGTTTTAGGGGAGGTGCACTTATGTGTGCTAGAGTGTATGCCAGTATATGTGCACATGTGGAAGCCAGAGGATACCTTCAGATGTCCTTTTTCAGGTACCATCCACACTGAATTTTGATATAGGGTCAGCCTGGAACTCATGAAGCAGACCGTGCTGGCTAGCCAAAGAGCCCCATCGGATTCTCTGACACTGGGATTATCGGCAAGGCACCATGGCCAGTTTTTATTTTACTTTATTATTATTTTAATTACATTTATGGGCTAGAAACATTTTTAGTTCCAGCACTAGAGAGGCAGAGGCAGGTGAATTTCTGTGATTTCAAGGTCAGCCTGGTCTACAAAGTCACTTCCAGACCAGCGAGAGAGCCTGTCTAAAAAAAAAAAAAAATTAAATATAAATATTTAAAAATTTACATTTTTAGCCAGGCATTGATGGCTCGTGCCCTTAATCCCAGCACATGTGAGGCAGAAACAAGTGGATCTCTGTGAGTCTGAGGCCAGCATGGACCACAGAGCTAGTTCCAGGACACATATTTGTATTATTTGTCTGTGTATTTGTCTGTGTAAATGTGCAAGTCTTGCATGTGTAGGAGCTGTCAGAAGACAGGCAGCACATGTGAGCTCCAGAGATCTAACCCAGGTTGTCAGGTTTGGTGGCAGCATCCTTACATGGTGAACCATCTCTCCAACATCCTCCAGCTTCCCCCAACCTCTGCATGGAGTCTGGGGACCAAACTCTCATTCTCAGGTTTACATGACAAGGGCTTAACCCACTGATCCGGGTTTCACGGATTAAACCCGATAGCCAGGTGTGCTCAGCAAATGCTTTTACTCCTTGATCCACCTCATCGGTCCTGTCTCATGAAGCCCGGGCTGACTTTGTACTCATGAGGCTGACCCGAAACTTCTGAAAAGCCTGGTTCCAGTCCCCACAGTGCTGAGATAACACCTGCAAACATGAGACCAGAGCATCTGAGGCCCAGAAGTTACATCTGATGTTGGCCTTCTTGTTGACCAAGTCCAGAGATGGTTCTGGCATCAGATGGCAGGACACAGGAGGCTCCAAGAAACTCAGTTAAACTAGCACACACTTTAAGAGAATCCACCAACCCAATGACTGACTGATTTATTATATGGCGTTTTTAAATTTTCCTTTAAAACATTTTGAACTAGCCAGACAGTGGTGGTACACGCCTTTAACCCCAGCACTTGTGGGACAGAAGCAGGCAGATCTCTGTGAGTTCGAGGCCAGTCTGGTCTACAGAGGGAGTTCCAGGACAGGCTCCAAAGCTACAGAGAAAACCTGTCTTGAAAACAGGAAAAAAAAATTTGTTACAATATATTTTTATTCAATACAGTATATATTTTCCCTTCCTCAACTCCTCCCAGATCCTTCCGATTTCGTTACCCACTCAACTTCATATTTTTTCTCTCTCTCAGAAAAAAATAGGAAAAACAACAGAAAGACAAAATCATGAAAATCAAAACAAACATAAAAAAGAAACAAAACAAAACAGAAATTACCAAACACACACACATATTAAAATCATGGGCAAGGTGGTGGTAGCAAACACCTTTAATCCCAGCACTCAGGAGGAAGAGGCAGGTGGATCTCTTAATTTTGGTCCAGTCAGGTATACATGGCAAATTTCCAGGCTATCCAGGGCTACATGGTGAGACCTCACCTTTAAAAAAAAAGTGGAAGCCGGGCGGTGGTGGCGCATGCCTGTAATCCCAGCACTTGGGAGGCAGAGACAGGCAGATACCTGTGAATTCGAGGCCAGCCTGGTCTACCAAGGGAGTTCCAGGACAGGCTCCAAAGCTACAGAGAAACCCTGTCTCGAAAAACCAAAAATAAATAAATAAATAAATAAATAAAAGTGGATAAGCCCGGCGATGGTGGCGCACGCAGTTAATCCCAGCACTCGGGAGGCAGAGGCAGGCGGATCTCTGTGAGTTTGAGGCCAGCCTGGTCTACAGAGCTAGTTCCAGGACAGGCTCCAAAGCTGCAGAGAAACCCTATCTCAAAAAAACAAAAACAAAAAACAAAAAAAAAAAGTGGATAAATGTAATTTTTATGTTTTATTTTTATTTCAAATGCATTGGTGGTTTGCCTGCATATATATTTATATGAGGGCATCTTTCCCCTGGAACTGGAGTTACAGACAGTTGTGAGCCGCCATGTGGGTGCTGGGAATTGAGCTTGGGTCCTCTGGAAGAGCGGTCATGCTCTTAACCACTGAGCCATCTCTCCAGCCATGAACAAATGTAATTTTAAAAAAAATTCAAGAAGAAGATGTTAAAGATACAGCTCAGGTGGTAAGGTAATGGCCTCACACTCGTGAAGCCCTGTGCTCCATCATCAGCCCTGATCTAGGCATAGTGATGTACATCTGTAATCTCATAGACAAGAGAATCACGAGTTCATGGTCATCCTAAGCTACATGGTGAATTTGAGGACAGCCTGGGTTACATGAGACCCTGTCTCAAGAAAAAAAAATAAAGAGAAAGAAAGAAAGACAGAAAGACAGACAGACAGAAAGAAAGAAAGAGAGAGAGAGAGAGAGAGAGAGAGAGAGAAAGAAAGAAAGCCAGGTAGTGGTGGTGCATACCTTTAATTCCAGCACTCAGGAGGATCAGAGGCAGAAGGACCTCTGAGTTTGAGGCCAGCCTGGTCTACAGAGCGAGTTCCAGGACAGGGTTACACAGAGAAACCCACTCTAGAAAAATAAACAAACAAACAAAACCAAAAAATAAAAATAAACAAGAAAAAGAAAGGAAGAAAAGAGGTTGCCGAGGGAGATACGACCCATGAAGGCACTAAGAGGGGGCAAAACTGGGAAGGAAAATGGCAGCTGGCTTTAATAAAGTTTAACAAAAATTAATACTAATTTATTAATAATAATTTTATTATTGTTGTTAGTAGTTGTTTTTATTCATTTTGCATGTGCCATGTCATAAGTGAGGAGTCAGTTCTCTGTATCATGTGTCCCAGAGACTGAACTCAGGACTCAGCTTCTCCCTCAGGTGTCTTTATGCACTGCCTTCTCACTAACCGTTTATTACTTTTGTCATTACCATTATTTCACTGGTGTGTGTGTGGCCGCGTACCACCATATGAGTGAGTGCATGCATGCAGGCTGAAGCCCAGGGAGATGTCCTGTGTCTTCTTTGCCACCTTCCTTTTCCCCTTCAGGGTATGTTTATTGCGAGGGAAGCTTGTTCTCCTTTAGGCTAGGCTGGCTCTTGAGATCTGAGTCTTAATGCAAGTGACGGGCACAAACAGCCATGCCTGTGTGGTGGGTGCTGAGGATTCCAACCCAAATTCTCCTGCTTACACAAGTGCTTTTATCCACTGAGTTTTTGGGCACTAGGAAGGCTGAGGCAGGGCGTCTTGCTTTCAAGGCAGCCTTAGCTATGTGATAAGATCCTGTCTCAGAAAACCAAGAAATGAAGAATAAGTTACTGCTTGTTGGGGCAGGGACTTCAGAGGGGAGCTCTCATCACCGCTATCCCCTTTCCCACCCACGCCCTGCCTGTTTTGGGGAACTCTGTTCAAACAGAAAAAGAAAGGGTAAGGGGAGGATATGGGGTGGGGTCATCAGGATGTCACATCAAGCAACCCAAACAAACCTACAGCACCCAGGAAGCAGAAACCCAGAACCAACCACTGGCCTGATGGTGCAGGACTGTACCTCCAGCTGCGGGGACAGGAGATCACAAATTCAAGTCAGCCTGGGCGATAGCAGAATCCAGAACTAAGAAACCTGGATTCGCAGGTAGGTAAAGGTGGCTGGACTCCAGAAGAAACACATATACACGTATTTCAGCAGGCTGTGTCTAGTTTGTGGGGAGAATAAAGTTCTGGGGAATTCGGACGTTGAGCCCACAGAGCTGAAGGAAGGAAGTTAGGGGCTCCCTGAAGCTAGGGTGACGCTTTTGTGCATCTGAGACAGGAAGTGGTGGTTTGGGTGTCCTACAGAAAGTGACTGATTAGACCCAAGGCCCAATGTCTCATATACACTCAGCCTGGACTTTGCCTCTGTGGGAATGTGGAGGCTTGCCTTCCCTGGCCACACCTCGAATCATAGCCCGTCTTTCTTGATACTGGCACACAGATCTAAACGTATCAAGAAAGTTAAGAGAACTTGAGGGAACTTGGAGAGGTGAGGGCCCTAGAGGAACCCAGAGACCCCTGAGGTGGAGGTGAAGGAAGTGAAGAACCAAAAGGAAGACAAACATCAGTTGATTAGGCGTGAGAAAGATAGGAAAAGTGCCCTGAGCAAAGGCTGGCCTGTCTCAACCAGTCTTCCAGCGAATGTGGCCATAAAAGCGGTTTCTTCAATCTCGTACACATGAGGACTGCTTCCTGACCTGGGAGACCTAGCTTCTCCTCTTTTATTACAGAGTCCAGCATGTGGAGCTACCTGTTCTTGCTACCAATCATCCTAGCTCTATGGGCTATCGCTGGCATCTGGATTGTGTGAGTAGCAGAGGCAGGACTAAAGGATGCTTGGGGTCTGAGGGAGAAGGGCTGGGGTTTGGATTCTTGGGTCTGAGGGAGGATAGCTGGGTGTTGGAGGGCTGCTTGTGACAGAAGATGAGGGGCAGAAATTCATTATCACAGTGAAGTGTTTTGTTTGGTCAACAGAAGGGAAAGCTATCCACAAGCCCCTTACTGACTTCCTGTATTCCTTCCATCTATCTCAGTTTTGCAATTGCCGTGGGTAACAGATCTGTGGATCTCCAGAAAAGCTTCCCCTTTATCAGGTTTTTGTGGCTGAGGGGGTTGGTGTGGGAGGAAAACAAAGGGCCTCACTTCGGAGGAGCCAAAAGATGACCATGTTAATCTTCTGCAGTAACTGTGGGTCTTATGCTCCTCAGAGCTGCATTTTCAGCCAAGTACTCAATACAGGAGCTGCCCTAGGTAAGTTCTCTCCTTTTACTACCGGCTCAGAGCTACCCAAAGGGTCCATAGCTCCCCCTTCCCCAGATCAGGACAACTGGCCCCTCTTCCCAAGAGAACACATCCTAGCCCTCCTCCCTCAGAATCCAAGGTTCAGGCCCCAGCCCTCTTCCCTCAGACCCCAAAGCCCTGTACCTCCAAATATCCTCTTCCCTTATCCTACTCTTATCTCCGAACCCAGCGTCTTCCTGTTCCAAGTCGTCCCCTTCATCTGGGAACCCTGTAGTGAGTCTAACTCTCCCTCATGGCTTTCCTAGCTATTTGGATCTGCATTGTGCGCTATCATCAACTCCGGGACTGGGGCGTAAAAACATGGCAAAACCAGTTGATTCTGTGGTCGGGACTCCTTTGTGCCCTGGGAACCTCCATAGTAGGCAATTTCCAGGTGAGATGCGCGGGGAGTCAACCTGGGGGGTTGGGGTAGTCAGTCTCCGGAAACCGGACTACAATTCCCTATGTTTCCCGCGGCTTTTGGCCGCTCTTTCTGTAGACTTGACTCGCAAGGCTTTCTGGGACTTGTAGTTCTCATTAGTCTTGGACCACGCGGGAGCTTAGAGGGCTTTGTGAAGTGAGCAATCTGTGCTAGGTTGTGTACTCAGAACCGTGTGAAACCCTCCTCGGAGTTGGGAGTATTTTATTGCAGTCACCGGTCTCCGTTTCATTTAATCATGAAATTACTGCAATCGGTACAAAGGTTGAGGCCTCTCACTATACAGAATCTCCACCGAACTCTATGCAGTCCCCTTGACCGAACCCTAAAGAGCAAGCTGCTTGTCTGTGGGTGGTCAGAAATGAGCAGAGACTCATGGACTCTAGTCCATTCGTGAAACTCTATAGATAACTGTAGAATGAATGACTGGGCAAAGGATAGGAAAAATCTCACTGGTTTATTTTATTACTGATTTTATGTCTGTCTCTGCCGTTCAGCCTCCTGCCGAAAGCTAGTGAAGTGCAGGGTGGGAGCCTCCGCCTAACAGTTTATTTGCGTGCCCATTTACTCCTGGGTTCCTCAACCTACTACTACTACTATGTTATTGTTATTATATTCCTTCCTTTATTTTTGCCGGGCAGTGGTGGCGCACACCTTTAATCCCAGCATTCCGGAGACAGAGGCAGGCAGATCTCTGAGTTCTTGAGGCCAGTCTGAACTACAGAGTGAGTTCCAGGACAGCCAGGGCTGTTACACAGAGAAACCCTATTTTGAAAAACGAACCAACCAACCAAAAACTCCCCCCCTCCCCCGCACTTTTTTTTTTTTTTTTTTTTTTACCCCTGAAGCTCGGAAGTAGCCCAGGCCTGTTTGGAACTCAGTAAGTATTGGAGAATGGCTTTGAATTCTTCCAGATCCTCCTGCCTCCATCTCCTGAGTTCTGGGAGCCCCACTTCTGTTTTATGGGGCACTGGAAAGCAAACCCCAGCTCTCTATGGACTGGGCTGCCTTCTTAGTTCCTGTTGCATTTTATTGCTTTTCTAAGGAATTTCCTAGGCCTTTCTCCAGTTTTCTCCTCCCTTCAGGACTTATTATTTTAGACAAGGAGATTCTCTGTGTTGACCTTGAATTTACATTCTTATCTCAGCATCCAGAGAGCAGGTGCTTAACGCAGTGCTACTACCCTGATCTTTCAGGACTTTTTTGTTTGGCTTTTTGGAACACGGTCTGTTTGTAGCTATGGTAGATCTGGAACTTACTACGTAGCCCCAAGACTGGATCCAGCTTCAGCTAAGATTACATATGTAATCTGGCCTTACTAAAAAAAAATTATGTACACTTTTAACACGTTTTTGAAAGTAACAAAAAAAAAAGTTTCATATCAGTGAAATTTTTACCTGTCAAGTATCAACATCTGGGAGTCGTTGAGCGGGTTCAGCATGTGAAGGCACCTGTCACCAAACCCGACAAGCTGAGTTTGATCCCCAGGACTCACTTAATAAGAGAGACCTAACCCTTGTACCTTGTTCTCTGACCTCCACACGTACTCCATGGTGTGACACCCCCTTCTTCCTACAAAATAAGTGCAATTTTTTTGTTTGTTTTTTTGAGACATGATTTCTCTTTGTAGCCCTGGCTGTCCTGGAACTCACTATGTAGACCAGGCTGGCCTTGAACCCAGAGATCCACTTGCCTTTGCCTCCAAAAATTTTTTTAACCTAAATTTTGCTGGGCGTGGTATGAATCCGTTAACCTAGTGCCAGGGAGGTGGAGGAAGGAGGGTCAGAAATTCAAGGTCAATCACACGTTCAAGGACAACCTGGGCTCTGTGAGACCCTGTCTTTAGGGCTGGGGCTATTGCTCAGTAGTAGGGTGATTGCCTTGATGCATGAAGTCTTAGGTTCAATCCAGGAGTTGGGGTGAGGAGGCAGAAAGAACCTGTCTCAAAAAACCTAAAACTAATAAAAATATTTCTCCTTAGGGTGTGTTTCCCTTTCCACACTTTGAGAATGCCAAGATTTTTTCTACTCCTGTTTCCTGAATGTCTACTTTGTGGGACGCACCTTGTCGTTTTGAGCTTTGAGGACCTAGCAGTGAATTTAAATTTAAATGGCTCAGCAATTACGAACACTTGTTGTGGCTGGGCAGTGGTGCACACCATTAATCCCAGCACTCTGGAGGCTGAGGCAGGTGGATCGAGCAAGCGAGTTCCAGGACAGGTTCCATAGCTACAGAGAAACCCTATCTTGAAAAAAACCAAACCAAAACAAACAACCCCCCCCCCCCAAAAAAAACCCCACCAAACCAACCAACCAACCAACCAACCAAACAAACAAACAAAACCACTTGTTGCTCTCCTGGAGAACCCAAGCACTCCTAATCACTTGTAATTCCAGCTTCAGTGGATCTGGCCCCCTCCTTTGACCTGCACCCACGTACACACAAACAAAAACTGATACACACTTTGTGGAGCTGACAAAGGCCAAGGTACCCAGCCTGACAGTTGGTGATAGGATGGCAGGTTCTATTTGTGTGTTTGTGTGTGTGCGTGCACGCAGGGATGGGAGGAAGGGGGAGGAGAGGTGGAGGTGGGAGTTGATGGTGGTGGAGGTACTTACATGCCTCACCATGTGAGTAGAGGTCAGAGGACATTATTTTTTTCCTTTTTGGTTTTTCAGGACAGGGTTTCTCTGTATAACAGTCCTGGCTGTCCTGGAACTTGCTGTGTAGACCAGGCTAGCCTCAAACTCACAGAGATCCACCTGCCAGAGGACATCTTTTAGGAGGTATTTCTTTTCTTCCTCTGTAGGTCCCTAAAAGCATTTACCAGCTAAGCCATCTCACCAGTCCTGGGCTTTGGGTTTCCAATTACATCTGTTGGACTAGTTCAAAGTCTCTACTTTCTATCATTTAACTCCCCCCACCATAATTTTATTTTCAATTCTCCTCCTATCCCCCAGGAGAAGAACCAGAAGCCCACACACCTGGTAGGAGCTTTTCTGGCCTTCATCCTGGGCAACCTGTACTTCTGGCTACAGTTCTTTCTGTCCTGGTGGACGAAGGGCCTGCCCCAACCTGGGCCCCGCTGGATTAGGCTTCTCCGCCTGAGTTTATGCAGTCTCACCACCATCCTCATCGTGGCCAGTATCCTTCCCAGGGCATCGAACTGGGCAAAAGTGCCTTTTCTTCGGGGCTAGCCCTTTCACTTTTGCTGTGTGCCACAGTGGGTGTTCCTTAGTGTCCATCCAGGATCACAGCTCCGCAGTGGAAAGTAGAAATCTGGCGTGGCGATGCAAGCCTGTGATCTTAATACTTGAGGGAAGATTAGGAGTTCAAGGCCAGCCTGGGCTATATGGAGGACTTTGTCTCAAAAACAAAACAGGTGTTGTAGATAGCATTGAATTTGAGGGCAGATGGGTTGCTCAGGAACCTCACTTTCTCCGAGTATTATGTAGAGGAACTTCTACCGGTTTCTTACATCCCTGAAGTGCCTCAGTTTCCACTCTTATCAAATGCAGGTAATTGAGGCTGAGGCAAAAGGATGACCGTGAGCATGAAGCTAGCTTGGGTTCCTTAGTGAGACCTGTCCTAAAGACAATGCAGACAGCTAACAAGCTGATCTCAGTGTCGTGAGGCAGATACACGCAAGCATGAAGCGGCTGGCAAACAGGAATAAGAAGATTCTGTTAATTGGCTGCCAGAGGCCCCAGCCAGGCATGTCAGGCATCTTTCTGGGTGCCGAAGAGCCACAGCAGGCTCAGGCTGGGGAAGTCTCTCGGCTGGAATTAGTGACCAGTTGCAGATGACTTGTGTTGTTCCACAAGACCACCTGCTCAACCATCTTCTCCCAAATTGAGGGTTCACATAAGTGACTTGGGATGGTCTTGGTGGGAAATAGTATTTGCCCCTGCATCACTAGAAATGCTACTAACTAGAGCCAGCCAGCTGTGTGTGTGTGTGTGTGTGTGTGTGAGAGAGAGAGAGAGAGAGAGAGAGAGAGAGAGAGAGAGAGAGAAGGGAGGGAGGGAGGGAGGGAGGGAGAGAGAGAGAGAACACGAATGAGCTGGGTGAGGGAGGGAAGGAGAGGAAGACAGACGTGGAAGAGAGAATGTCAATCTAGCAATGTAGTCCAGGGCAGCCTCAAACTGGCTCTGTGGTCAAAGATGACCTTGAACATTTGATTGTGCTGCCCCTACTTTCTGAGTACTGGGATTCTAGGTGTGGGGGATCACACCTATTCTTTTCTGGTTCAGAGGACTGAATTTGAGGCTTTTCATAAGCTAGGCCAACACTCTACTAATTGAGCTATATTCTTCAGCCCCACCTCACCCTTTTAAAACACTAGTTCATTTAGTGTGCGCCTATGCACTTACATGGACATCAGAGTTGGTTCTGGCTGGGCGGTGGTGGTGCAGTGGTGGTGCACGCCTTTAATCCCAGCACTCGGGAGGCAGAGGCAGGCGGATCTCTGTGAGTTCGAGACCAGCCTGGTCTACAGAGCTAGTTCCAGGACAGGCTCCAAAAAAAACCCACAGAGAAACCCTGTCTCAAAAAAAAAAAAAAAACCCAAAACAAACAAAACAGAATTGGTTCTGTCTGCCATGTGATTTCTGAAGACTGAATCAAGGTTATATACAGGCTTGGAGGCAAGCCACCTTGCCTGTCTCAGCTCTTGGCTTTTCTCTCTCTTTCTTTCAGATTTATTTATTTTTATTTTATGTGCATGCATGTCTGTGTGAGGATGCCCTGGAATTGGAGTTATAGACAGTTGTGAGCTGCCATATGGTTGTTGTGAATTGAACCAGGACCCTCCAGAAGAGCAGCCAGAGAGCTTAACTGCTGGGCCGTCTCTCCAGCCCTGGAAACTGCCACTTTTTTTTTTTTTTTTTTTTTTTTTTTTTGCTTTTTCGAGACAGGGTTTCTCTGTGGTTTTGGAGCCTGTTTTGGAACTAGCTCTTGTAGACCAGGCTGGTCTCGAACTCACAGAGATCCGCCTGCCTCTGCCTCCCGAGTGCTGGGATTAAAGGCGTGCGCCACCACCGAAACTGCCACTTTTAAGAAGCTTTGAAGTCCATGAATGAAGGCAGACTGGGTGCATAATTGTAATGCTAGCACCAGGAATGCTGAGGCAGGAGGATCATGAATTCTGTGCCAGGGAGACCATCTTAAGTAAAGTTCAGTTGTAGAGGGCTTGCCTAGGAGAAGCAATATCTAGTCTCCTTCCAAAACACTGTATTTTGCAAGTAAGTTTTAAGGATTTTTAGAGAATAACTTACAGATGAGAAAAATACATCAAAAAGCACGCATAGGGCTGGAGAGATGGCCCAGAGGTTAACAGCATTGGTTGGTCTTCCAGAGATCCTGAATTCAACTCCTAGCAACCACATGGTGACTCACAGCCACCTGTAATGAAATCTGGTGCCCTCCTCTGGCCTGCAGGAATACATGTAGGCAGAACACTGAATACATAAAGCATGCACAGAAGGGCATATGGCTTAGCAGGTAAATGTACTTGTCTCCAAGCTGAAGAAGATCTGAGTTAGATCCCTAGGACCTTCATGGTGGAAGGAGAAAATGGATCCCACCAGGCTGTCCTCCGATCTCCACACAGTGCTCATGCACGGGGCATTAATGAAAAGATGTTCACGCTGATAGAAGATGATAAGGGAGCGAAGGGAAGGGACAGGGGTTATGAGAGGCTCCAGAAATCAAGCACTGTCTCTTCGGGGCTGGCCCTGGAAGGTAAGTAAGCTGACAAAAGAAATTTTTGGTTTTTTCCTTTCTTTTTCTTCTTCTTCTTCATTCCTTCCTTCTTCCCTCTCTCCCTTCTTTTCTTCCTTTTTAGATAGGGTCTCACTATGTAACCCTCGCTGGCCTGGAACTATGTAGACCAGGCTGGCCTCAGATTTACAGAGACAAGAGACCCACCTGCATCTGCATGAGGCACCATCACCAGCAAAACCCAAAGTTTTACAGAGTTGAATGAAATGAGTTAAAGCAGTGTGTGTGAATGTGTGTGTTTGTGTGTGGGGGTGGGGGTGGTGGCAGGTGGAGCAGGGCAGGTGACCTGCTGGTCTAGGGATTGGAAATTCCTAAATCCCTTAAAGAGGAACAGGTTTGGGGCAAGGAGAATCAGTTCTATTAAGCAGTGAATGTGGAGGAGGAACCTGTAAATAGCCTGAGACCAGTGGGGGCCAGGGATATGTTTAAGAAGTTACTTACCTGGGACTGGCACTGTAGCTCAGTCGGTAGCATCCTTGCCTAGCATGCAGGAGGTTCTAGGTTCATCCCCCAGTACCAGATAACTAGGTTGTGGTGGCATATGCCTAGAACCCCGACATTTGGGAAGTGGAGACAGGACTAGAATTTCAATGTCATCTTTAGCTAGGTCATCTCAAGTTCAAGGCCAGCTTGGGCTACCTGACATCCTGTCTCAGAAGCCCAAACAAAGGGGGGAAAGCCAAGCAGCACTCCAGCTGGAGGGAGCAGGAATGGTTGGGAACACAACAGGAGAGTCGTTCTGGGATCAGGAAGGACTCACAGAATGGAAAGTGAGTTTGGAGCATTGGTGGTACTCCATTCCTCATTAAAGTCATGTGCAAACCCAGGAGCATATGGAGAAGGGCGGGGTTTGGACAGCACTGAGGATAACAGCTAGAGTCCCTTTGAAGGGATAGGGCTGAGGCTGGTGATCAGGATGGACTTTCCTGGCCTGAAGTGCCAAAGCATCTGAGGGGGGCGGTCAGGGCTTTAGCGTGTAGCATGTGGCCCTTGACACTGGTGTGAAGTGATCATCCTGTACTCCCAACGGATGCGTTCTGCCTCTGCTGCCTGCGAGTGGGCAGTGGCCATGCTGCTCTTTGTGCTATTTGGATTCTTTGCCGTGGACTTTTCCAGCTTGCGGGGCTGCACCCTGCACTTAGAGCCCCAACTGGACTGCAGCCTCCCACAGACTCCCACTGAGTCTCCAAATGCACAGATGTCACAGATGCTCTGACTAGGCTCCGCACTATTGGCAGAGGAAGAAAGATGGGGCCAACCCAGGCTCACCCAACGATGAGCTGGAGGCTGAGGTGGACAGTCTGCCTGATGGACGCACGCAGAGCGGACTGGTGCTCACCACTTAGAGGGGCAGCATCATGGTACCCACGTGTCCCGTGACTGGAAGCACCCCAGGAATTGAGAGGCGAAGGCCAGCCAGCTGTCCCTGATCAAGGCTATTTATTAATTTTGTTGTTGTTGTTGTTGTTGCCGCCGGCGGAATCAGACAGACGCAGGCAGGATCACGCAAAACCAGAACCAGAATTCCTTCCGGGAGAGCAAATCCGTACAGAAGGTCGGAGGGGAAGGGTAAAGGACTTGGTGGGGAGCAGGGGCCCAGGAAGGGGAGTAGGGGTTGGGGATGACACAGAGACAGAGGGCCCTGTCCGGATCTGCTAAGCCACCCCCAACCAGCTCCCATCCCTCCCCCACCCCACCCGCAGAGATTGATCAATAAATAAAATAATAAATTAATCAATAAATAAATAGAAACAGCTCCCACCCCCTTTTTGCCCTAGAACCTCCCCCCATTGGGCACGGCCCCTGGAGCCCCATCCCTTCAGGGCAAGGCCGAGTTTTATGTCCCCCCACCTCCCAACATACTCCTTGGGCCTTATATACAGATTCACAGTAGGGGGGCAGGGAAGGGGGGTGGAGGGGGATCCCCTCCTTCCCTGACCCCCTGGGGTCAGGGTAGAGGGGTTCCATTGGTGGCCAGGAGCTTCTTGTCCTTAGGGGGTCCTCGGCGGGGAGAGCTGCTCAGATCAGGGTCGGGGCGGCTTGGTGGGGGCTGCAGGCTTCGGGGTGGGGTACCAGCAGGCCGGGTCTGGGCTCCGTTTTTCTCATCTGTGAAGGAAGAAGTAATTTTGTATGGACTGATAGGCTGCTGAAACCAGGTTGAGGCTCCTGTCTGCTGGTCTCAGTCACCCTAAGAAACCAAAGTTGGCTGGCACGATGGTCCAGTGGGTAAAGGTGTCACCAGGCTCAATGACTTAAGTCTGATCCCTGGGACCCACAGAGTAGGGGGAGAGAGAGAACTGACTGCGAGCTATCTTCCGACCTCCACATGTGCACCCTGGGGCTCACTCTCCCTACACAAATAAATAAATGTAGTAGTGATAACAATCAGAGACCAAATTCGCCACCTGTGAGACTTCAAGTCCCAGAGACAGCTGCCATAGGGAAGCATACCTTTTCTTATAGAAGGCCTGGAGGTAGGTGCCTTGTAGCTTCGGAAAAACCTACCCAGCTTGTCTGAGGCCCAGGTTAGCCCATCACAAGAAATTCTCAGCTCTCAGAGGCAACCACAGGGCTGATAACTGCAGTAACCCTTTTTGATAACTAGGTAATTTTAAGGGAATGGGGCTCACAGTGTTGTGAACTGTTTCAGGGTCTCAAACCCATCTGGTTCAACTGGCCTGAGGAAGGCCACACCTTGTATACATATGCTAGCACGTGCGTGCACATGATTTTGTGTGTACATGGAGTTCAACATCAGGCTGTCCTCTAATGTACGAAGATCTGCCCGTGTGTGACTCCTGAGAGCTGGGATGAAGAGCATGCAGAACCGCTGCCTGGAACTTCCCTTACTTTTTAAGTGTGTGTGCGCGTGTCTGTGTGGCGTGTGTGTTACAGTTCCAGTGTGGAAAAGAAACAACTTGCAGAAACGTGTTCTCCCTTCCATCACGTGGGTCCTGGGGACCTAACTCGGGCTGTCAGGCTTAGTGGCAAGCACCTTTAGAGGAGCCCTCTTGCCAGTCCCCACTTCCTGAAGCTGCCTTTGTGAGGTATTTCCTTGCAGCAACTGTCATTTAACTAATCCTCCTGAGGCCCGAATAACTTTGTTGTGAGAAATTTTCTGTGAGTTACAAGGTTTCTCAGCATCCCTGTTCCCCACCCACATGATGCCAGTAATACCTTCCTGCTCTCCATGTGAGAAGATCAAAAAGAGTCTCCACACAGTGCCAAATAACCCCCCAGGGAGGCTGAATAATGCCACCACCACCCTCCCGACCAGATGTTCACATCGTAAAGCTGGGGACCTGTGAAAATGCTGAGCTCATCTGTGTGACTCAGGATAATCCCTGTGGGTGGGGAGACTACCTGGGATTACCTGGGTAGACCCAGGTTAGTCACCCATCCTTAAATGAACCAGTCATGCCAGGGGCAGTACAGTGGTACTAGCTCTGGAGGATGTGGCCACAGGTGTAGGTAGGAGCCATAGAGCAAAAAAAGGACAGCTCTCAGGACGACACCCTGAGGTTAGCTTGAGTGTCGCACCTCCAGGACAGTATGATGAAAACTCTGAACTGTTTCAGGGGCCAACTTTGAGGTCTTTTTTTTTGGGAAGGGGGTTCCAGATAAGATTTCCTTGTTTAGCCCTGGCTGTCCTTGAACTCACTCTGTAGACCAGGCTGGCCTTACAGAGATCTACCTGCCTCTGCTTCCCAAATGCTAGGGTTCTAGGTGTGCACCACTACCAGCCGGCTTGAGGTCATTTATTAATGAGAGCCATAAGTAATGATTCCAAGGTCAAGATGAGCCCTGTCAAGCTACTAGTGTCCTCCAGGCTGCTTTACTCATTACTGAGTTCTCTGTGTTCAATCTCTTCTATGGGGACGGGGACAGAGGGATGTCAGGCTGATTTCACAGGACTCTTGTGTATTCAGCATGCTCCTTCAAATGGAGCCTGCTTTTCTCTGTAAACCCCTCATTCACTTAGAATTCCCATCTCTGCATCTCTGGTTGCTATGGCAGACACACCTGTACTGTACTATAGGCTAAACGTTGTGTCCCCATAATTCACATGCTGGAATCATTACCCCGAAATTGTAGGGGCTTCTGGGAGGATGATTAGATTTTGAGGGTGGAGCATTCATATATGGGATTAGTGCCATGAATTTATCAAAGGCCTCAGTGAAAGCTAGACTGATAGTGTCTGCCTATAATTCCAGCATCTGGGACGGAGGCAGGAGGGTCAGGAGTTCAAGATCATTTGTATCTACATATGGAGCTTGAGACCAGTCTGGGATAGATGAGACCCCATCTGAAAAAGGCAAAAAGTGAACCCTAAGGAGACGTAGTGAGAAGAGGTCATCTGTGCATGAGGAAATGGACTGCAGACAAACACCAGATCTGTGTGCTGCATTGACCTGGGACTTCTAGTCTCTGGACAGAAGCTCCCAGGCTAGAGAGATGGCTTCCTGGCTAAGAGCCCTGGCTGCCCTTCCAGAGGACCTGCATTCAATACCGAGTTTACAACACTCTGTAATTCCACTTCCGAGGGCTCTGATGCCCTCTTCTGGACTACACACACACACACACACACACACACACACACACACCAAGCATGCACACAAAAACACTCATGTACACAAAATAAATAACACTTTTTGAAAAAAATAATTAAAAAGTAATTTTATCTTGCTTATTTCTGAGACAGGGTCTCATGAATATCTCTCTGGCCTCAAATTCGATACATAGCTGAGAATGACTTTGAATTTCTTTCATTTAAAAACACTTAAAAAAAGATTATTTATATGTATATGAGTGCTCTATCTGCACATAAGCCTTTATGGCAGAAAAGGGCATCAGATCTCATTATACACGTTTGTGAGCCTTCATATGGTTGCTAAGAATTGAACTCAGGACCTCTGGAAGAGCTCTTAACCACTGAACCATCTCTCCAGCCCTCATTTTCTTTTTTCTTTATTTTGTTTTTCAAGACAAGGTTTCTCTGGGTAGCCCTGGTGGTCTTGGAACTCCCTCTGTAGACCAGGCTGGCCTCAAACTCAGAGATCCTGCCTGCCTCTTCCTCCTGAGTGCTGGGATCAAAGGTGTGCATCACCATTGCTTGACTGATTTTGAATTTCTGATCCCCCACTCCACCTCCAAAACGCTGCCTGAGTTACAGCTGTGTGACACCACTTCTAATTACGTGGTGCGAGGACTGAGCCCGGAGCATAGTGCATGCTGGTCAAGTGCTCTATAACTGAGCCACATCCTCCGGTCCTATTTGTTTGTTTTCAAACAGTTTTACTAAGTGGCCAAAATGGCTGGAACTAGTCACTCAGAATGGCCTTGAGTTTCTGACCACCTTCCTGCCTTGCCTCAGCTTCTTGAATGCTAGGATTACAGACATGCATCTTCATACCTGGTTTCCTATTGCTTAAAAAGTCACCCAGATTATGTTTTTTGCTTTTCTTTTTCTCTGTTGGTGATAGGACCCAGGAACCCTTGCTAGGTAAATGGTCTACCTCTGAGCCAACCCCTGGCCAGTTTATGTTATTCTCTTATGGAAACCTGGGTGAATTACAACCCCTCCCTGAGGCCTGGCCTCCGCTCTTCCCCATGGAAGCCAGATAAGAACTATGTCCTTCAATGCCAATGACATTTGGGTCTTGTAAAGTGAGCCACTAATATGTCCTATCTGTCCTGGTTTTAGTATAAAGGTCATGCCTTGTCCCCAGTCCCAGGCACACCAGGATGGCCGGTAAATCTCCCACGAAACAGAGTTCCACGGCTCTGTGGCACCATGTTCCATGGCTCCCAACATGGAGGCCACTGTCCTCTTAGGGCCTCTGGAGTGCTGAGGAGTCCCTTCTCAGAGCCCAGCCTCTTGTGGGAAATCTATTCCCAACAGTGCAGGGGAGGCCTCAGTAAGACACTGACCAAAAGTCCAAGAAATGGGCCAGTCTGGCTTCTCCAAAGCGAAGAGAAGGCTGAATTTGCATCTGGTCACCCTGGCTGTGTGGTACCCACCTACTAGGGCCTGCACAGAGGGCTGGTCACCCTGGCTGTGTGGTACCCACCTACTAGGGCCTGCACAGAGGGCTGGTCACCCTGGCTGTGTGGTACCCACCTGCTAGGGCCTGCACAGAGGGCTGGTCACTCTGGCTGTGTGGTACCCACCTGCTAGGGCCTGCACAGAATCTGTACCTGGTCACCCTGGCTGTGTGGTACCCACCTGCTAGGGCCTGCACAGAGGGCTGGTCACTCTGGCTGTGTGGTACCCACCTGCTAGGGC